ACCTGTAGATGCACCAAAATCCAGTAAATTAATGCAAAGTCAAAGTGGTATCCCTATAACCAAGTTATCAGAAGGCTTCTTTGTGTCAGCGTAACTAAATTCCATTAAACTGTTTTCTAAAAGGAATCAAGTATTCTACAGATCCATATATGCTTTCAGGATGAGCTGTTCTGTAGAGATTATGGCAAGAAAGTCTACAGGATATTAAAACAAATGTTTTAATCTACAGATTTTTAACTAAAGCTTCATCTTGAGGAACACTTGCTGGATGGGCAGAACGCTTCACACCATCACCTTAACTACCTTAATAAGACACATCCAATTTTTCTCCAAATTTATCTCTAAACCAATTTCATTCTCTGACTCAACAAGAAGCCTGAATTTGCACCAGAGTTGTTGGAAATACTCTTCTCTGACCAGGCATTGATACTGAAACCACAAGTCTCATCCAAAATGAATTGGCATGTCTCGAACAGGACCTGGACAGTATTTGAGCAAACACTGGAAAAAATTATCTCCTTCCCAAACTGCACTAATCACCACCTGAAGAGATTTGTTCTCTATGCTTTGCATGTGTCTATATTTGCATGTGTTGTCTCTCTTCTTTACCCCACTACACATCTCAAATGATTTTCTGAAAAAAAAAGTACAGCATCAGCAGCAACTTAGACTAAAAAGCATGTGAGGAAATAAGGATGAACAAAAAATCTTCCTGATAATAGAATTTATAGGAATCAAACAGTTTCTATCACTTGATTTTCTGTACAGTAGAACAGATGAAACATACGATCAGAAAAAGGAAGTAAAATTGTTTAAAAGACCTTTTTTATCTTTAATTTCTGTGATTCAATAATAAGACACTATCAAATTCATATATTATGTTGTATTAATAACTTTGTATTAATATCAAAATCTAAGGCCGATTGTTCCTCATTCACATAGTCTTGAAAATGTGAAGCCAAGATCATATTTCTTATGTTAAATCCCCCTCTAACAATACAATCCTGTCAAGGCAATTTAGTTCAATACAATCAGATCATAAAATCAATATTTCTTTTTTCATAAGCATACAAGTACATGATTAAAGGCATTTCAGATATTTGAATTGGCTTTGCTATCACAGAAGATAGAATAGGGGTTTTAAGTGTGTAAAGTGTTATTGAGTCTTTACTAAATAAAACTGGAAGACATTAACTTGTAGGACTCTCCAATTTTTCAGACTGCAACCTATCCAAAGGAAAAAAGTTCTGAATCTGAAACTTAGCTAGGATATTCAAATTATGACAACTTTGTGGTTAAAAAAACAACAAACCAAACAACAAAATTTACCATGCCTTATTTCTCCCATTGCAAATTATCTTTGTCAAACAACCCTATTAGCCTACCTTTACTTGGACTATAAACAAAATACACAAATTCAGCAATGCACAGAAATAATTTGGTTAAAATTCACTGCCAAAGTCACAGGTAACTCATTCTTCCCTTGGGAAGAGTCTCTCCACTCTGTGGAATCCTGCACCTGGAGAACTGTCCTACCATTATCAGAAAGTTTCTTGTATAGGGTTGTGCAAGCAATACATATGATTTGATAAAGCACAGCTGTAGCTCATGAGCAAGTATCTACACAAATGTTACTGTTTGCAAAACAGTGTTGGAAAAATGTCATGGGGATCTAGATGAAAATGAGCATCCAAAAACACACTGATGTTCATATCTGTACAGTTTTCAAGTCAGAACATAAGAAATTATTATATAGCATGATAAAGCACTATACATCACTACATTATACAGATTCATTAAAAATTTCTTTCCTATCTCTATTTCCTCAAATTTGTCAATAATATGTAGCTCTTTTCATATGCCAAATGCACTCTTCTCAGGTGCTTCCATTTCTTATGCTGTCCTCTGCACACAAAAACGATACCACAGAAACCCTTTCTGAAGGCTTTACCAAATCTAAAAATCTGGTACTTTGCAGGTTTGAAGTGCTGTTTTGCCTTCATCTTTACTTTAGACATTGATCATACTGATATTCCTAGAAAACTTTTGAAAAAGTATAATCTGATCTGTCTTTCAATACCAAATGTTGTCTGCAAACTGGAATCTAGGTAGAAGACTAGATTTGAAATGTCCTCTATGAATACTGATTGAAAATTTAATTCACATACAGCATTTCAAGATGCAAAAATATATGTAAAGAACAGCTGAATACAAAAGAGCATCAGGGAAAGGAGAAGGCTTCACATACTAAGAGCTGCACAATAGTTGAATGATGGCATTTCTGAGCCAGCATAAGAAGAGAAAAAATCCACTGGCCTTCCACTTCTCTACATGATCAGATGATATATCCAGAGCATGTCCTCTGCCATGCTTCACATCTTTCTGTAAGCACTTACTGCTCCATAGGCAAAGCTTATTATTCATTTAGGATACTTTGGTTTCTTTAAAATACTGCTCAAAGTGTGGGTCTATAGTGATACTAGTCAGTTAGTTAAACCAGGACAGCTCTTGTAGAATTGGGCATTCAGAGCCACTTGGGAACTTGGATTCTGCCAAGTACTTCAATGAACTCATTACAGCTGACTGACATGAATCAATAATGAAATAAACTGGAAAGACCCTGATACACAATACATTCCAGATGGTGTGTTTTATTTTGGCTCCTAATGACCCTGAAATCTAAAGCACACAAAGGAAACCTGCTAAATCATTAAGAAATTCTTAAAATGTGCCAATGTTTAATGATTTTTGCCTCACTAAAAGGCAAACCTCCCTGCTAATCCTACATACACATGGGGACAACTTGTGCAAAACCCACAACTTATTTGTTCTGAATCCCCCTCAGCAGAAGGATCTCTCTCTCAATTACAATATTTATATAAAAGAAAAAGGCAAAGTAGCCATCTAGCCTGAAACTAAATAATATGGTCTAAACACACTCCTTTCCCCTCTACTCACACACTCAGTCCTACCAGGGTATTTACCTACATGTATGATTTGAGCTCTACAGGCAGTAAATTTGGCCATCCCTTTCAAAGGTGTAAAAAGGAATATACAGGCTCCATTAATACACTTTGATATATTAACTTAAAAATTCTTTCATCACAGCTTATCAAAATAACTTTCTGGTCTAAATTAAAGCTATGTTAGGAATCCAAACCATTCACATTTCTGAATTAGTGAATGATTTCACTAAGGATGACTTATCTAAAATGAATACCCCTCTGGAAGCAGGTGCAAAGCTAAAACATTGTAAATATGTTATTCCTAAGATGACTACACTAAAAAACACATCAGTTTTTTGCCCCAGCAGGTGATAAATGTCTCAGGGGAACTCCACAAGGAAACAGGCAAAGTGGGGCTATAAACAAGAAATCAAGATCAAATGATGTTGGTGTAATTAAGAGATATGGAAATTCTTTCAACCCTATGAGTGCTCAACTCTTCCTGAAAACTGACATAAAACTTATGAAATCCATGCAGCAGAAACTGCTAAATGTGCAAACGCTCTCATTATCCCTGTCAGTACTGTTAGCTGGATTGCTGTGTCACCGTGAGTCAGTCAATTACGCAGTCACTTTCATGAAGGGTATTCATTCCAAATAATTATCTCTGCCTCATTTCCCAGAGTTTGTGGTCTTGCTACTTTCTCATTTCACATTCCTTTTCAATAGATTCTGTGATTCTATTTATTCTCTCAGATAGACTTAATCTCCAAGGACTTCAACCTCAAAGTTTTTGGGAAACTCTGATACATACCATACAGGAGTGAAAATCCATCCCTCTAATTCACATAATGCAAGGAATCTGAGATAAAGTTATAGCTACTGAAATCGGCAATTTTCTTTCAAGGATAAACATGTTTTTTACTTACATACCTTCTTTTTAAATTTTATTTCCTAACATAATGTGGAGCTGTATGACATTTTCTCTTTCAAAAAGCCTTACTTAGTTTTCTATATGTGACAGTAGTGGTATGTGATAAAGAGAGTAATCATATGAGGATGTGTAGTGATCTTTTCTGGCTGTTTTACTGCTTTCTTCCCTGGCATACTAATAACCACTGATATGACCTTTACAGTGGTTATAAATTAATTGATCTCTTTCCATAAAAAAATTTCATCAATAATTTTTGTATCTTTGCACTTCTGTATTAAGATGAAAATGTTAAAAGACTATTAAAGACTCTCTGGTTTATTTTATTTTTCATATGAAACATTTAAGATAAGAATTTCTTCAGTTTTCAGGGACAATGAGTGTCTGTATTTCTGGAGGAATGAATTGCCAAACTGTGAGGTTTCATATGTTGTCTAAAGACATATGCCATTTTTAGGCTGTTTTCTCTGAATAAAAAAAAAATCACAACATTTGACGTTCATTTTTCCCAATGAAAATGCCTATAACACTTGTACAGGAAACTCCATTTGGCACATTATGGATGTTTTTAATTGAGTGTCCTCTCTATTTCATTTTGCATTCCCTTTTACACGTGGCACACCTTTTCTAATGCATTCCTAGCAGTCCAGTAAAAATATTAAGTGTCTAAATGTATCTCCCAAATCAGTCACCTCAGTGGATTCAAAATTTAGCCACAGTGGCTTAAAAAATGCAATGAGAATATATTGATTTCATTGTTGACAATGATTCATGGCAATCCAGTTCAGTGAATGAATGATCTAGATCACCTGTTCTGGTTGCGAGCTGAGACAAATCAAATTCATGGTTTGATAAAGGCAGGCTGCTGTTACACAGTACTTCCAAAATGGAATTCTCCACTGCTTAGAGTAGGAGATTGTACTAAAGAGTTGAAAACAACACAAATATAGTAAGTGCTTTTTCTGACAAAATCCACCTTTCTGCTTAAAATTCACTTTGAAAACTACTTGGGAAACATTCTTCTATTTACACAATGACACAAGATCAACAGATTCTCCACCCAAATGTGCAAAGTTAAAGTAATTTTATAACAAGCATTTTAAAGGTTAAACTATTTTACTTACCAAGCCAACTTCTGTTTAAATATACTGACACAAACACTGGAGGGACCGTGAAGAAATCTACCACTGAGTTAACTTCTAGCCAAAACCATAGCTTGTCATTGGCTGCTATAAACTGGAAAGAAAAAAAAAAAAAAAGCAGGGAAGAGATGAAAGAATCAGATTATTATCATGCTGATTGCAGGTATCTGTTATTAAATATTAAATCCAAAAGTTAGTGTAGTAACTGATGTTTTAGGTCAGTCCAGACAAAACATGGAAAGAAGTCTGTATTGCGAATTTCTTGATAATAGCACTGAGATTAAAATAAAAGGTCTAGCTAGAGAGATAGATCATCTATGTTATCAGTTGTAGTATCTGTGCTAAAAATACTTTTTCCACATTTGTTGACAATGTCTCAGTAATATTAGAAAAGTGTAGGCAATTATAAAGTATTTGGAAGCACATCTGGAACACTTTTGTTCCAGCACACCAAATATGGTGGTGGTAATCTTATCATGCACAAATTTCTCAATATAGAGCTGTTTACAGAGTCCTATTATTACAAGTCCAGAGGAGATCAGCAGGGTGACTCCTACAAGGCATAGTTTGGGACTGTAGCAGCACTTCAGGCTTTTGAATGAAACCATGTGGTCATTTCTCTCTCCTGAATACAAAATCAGCCCTGGGAAACTGGCAAGTTTAGATGCCATGGGCATCATAGTTAGAACTTGCCTACGTGCTTAAATAAGGTGAAACTTCCATTTGCATTTGATTAATAATTAAAAAAAAATTGAAACATTTGCTTTATATAAACATTAAATGTAAAAATACAAATAAAGGGAAAAAACGAGTGTATCATGAAGATATTTAATGGAGCAGATCTAAGTCTTAAAACTTTGACTTACACATTTCAAAACCATGGTCATATTCTTTGCATTAAAGAAGATATTGTCTTTCTTTCAAAGAAAATGCTCTATTTCAATCTCCATATACAGCAGCTGCCTTCCCTCCCTGCCTCCTGCTACCAGAGAGAAATCACTTACACGCAAGCCGAAGTAGAGTAGGAAGAACACATTGAAAGCCATGTCGATCTGTAATGTGAAATCTTTGTAGAAATTCTGGCAGGATTCTATTGGGCTATTTGAAAGACAAAGAAATCAGAATAAACTGTCAGTATGTGAGCTTCTACTCTGCCGAGAATTGTTTGCATTTCATTAAAGACCTTGATCCAGAAATTAGGTTTCTGTTTTCCAGTCGTTTACTAGGTACAAGCAAGCATTTCAAAGGAACTATTTCATTCATTCAGTTAGTCATTCATACAGTATTCATATTCACCTCTTCAGGTAATATTTGAGAATTAACATGCAGATACCTTTAGGAGAGGACAAGCAGGAGAATACCTCAGGATTGCTTAACCCCACATTAACCCTTAAAGAACTGACTTCTTTCTAAAGGACACACCTATGATACTTTAGGAAGAAACCTAACAAGTACACAGGTACAGTGAAACATTACATGCTTTTAATTCATAAAACCTTTTAAAAAATAGTTGCTTAGGAATACATTACCCATTAGCAACCTGGAGTACTTAGTCTTGTAGAATCCCTTGTTTATAAAAAGTTGATTGGATTTTTTTTTCTTTTTCTCACTTCCTTTTTTTTTTTTTTGTATGGCCATTTAATGTACTTTATGTACAGTACTATGAACTGAGTAGAAAAGCAGCATAGCCCACTGGTAAAATTAAATAACAAAATAAATTGAAGAATTTGAAGCAGTACTCTAAGGGTTAATTTCTGCATGCAGGTTAATTAAAATACCCTTGTGTGTCTCAGGCAGCCATTGCAAATTTTAGCTTCTTATTTTATGCTCTATTTGACAGTGGGACAGATCCAAAGCTTGCTCTATACAAACTGGTACTTTATAAATATACTTTTAACTAAGGAAGGTGGTAACTTCCATAAGTATCATCAGTGATTTATTTGTAAGGTTTCTAAAACAGGTTGTTGAAGCCACAGTCCAATGTTGTAGTCATAGACCAAAGTGAAAATCATGTCCCAATATATGTTGATGTATATACTATATATACATAATGTCCCACCATATATAAATATATATACACACATATATTGCAAATGATCCTGTGTTCATCACAAGTGTAATAGAGGGAAACTAGAACGTAGATCATTTGAACATTTGGAGCCCTAGAAAACTCCTTTTAGAAAAGCAGAAATTTGTTGGCTTTCTAGATCAAATAAATCACTGAACATGAATATAATACCAGTTAGTATAGCAGTAATTCTGCAAGTATAATGCTAGACTGCTCAACAAGCAAGATTCTATGCGTTATGAATGTCAGGTACCTAACTTAAGGCATAAAGGAAATTACCTGGACCACCAGGTCATTACACATGCAGCCAGATTTTCCATTCCTTGTATACATTTCAGGTCAAACAAGTTAATTACAGCATGCTCTCTCCTGTCTCTAGATGCATGAATGTATACAGCAAAATTCTCCTTGATGTACAATAGCTTCATATTTTAAGAAGCTTCAGTGCTATAGGAAAGTGTATTAAAACTGTTTTTCAAAGGCTATTTGAAAGGCATTAAAGTTATGAGACACTTCTGTTGTAGTTCAAATAAATTTGATTTACAAGAGCAGGCAGAAGGGAAGAGAAGCCATATGTTAACATACAGGAGAGCAGACAATACCCCATATTTACAAACACAGTTTTAGCTACAAAAATACTGGATGTAATTTGAGAACCCAACTGGATAATCTTCTGTAAGGCACTAATGAGAACAAAGGATTTTGTCAAAATAAGGTAGGGCACACACTGAGTCACAGTGCACCCTACCAACAGGAAATACAGAGGAACAGAACCAACAACCATGCACCAGCCCTTAACTCCGGGTTAGGTCCCTGCAAAAGCTGGAGAAGTTCACTGAAACTAATGGACTGCAGAGGCTTATCACCAGGATAGAGAGCAATTTTTAATTAAGGTCAGCTAAGGTTGCAGCTAACAGCTCTACTTTTGTGACTGTCCTTTACAAAAACCTACAAGATCTGACAAATTATCTAATGCATGATAAATATTTTTTTTTTTTTGGCAAAACACTTAGCCCAATGGATGACAATTCTGATTTGTGACTTCTGTTCATCTAATACCAAAACCACTGTTTCTCCTAGTCAAATCCTTTAAACTTCCTTCATTTCAGAGAGAATCCCTCTCTTTCAATATTTAAGTTGTCCATTTCAAAGACAAACACAGCACCCTTCTTTTTTATTTCAAATGATGATTTTGTCAGAAGGGCGTGACACTGAAGGAATTATCAATTTTTTCACAGATGGATTATAAAATATTTTAAGCATTCTAAATTAAACTTTCAGTTTGGATTTCTTATTTTGCTTCTCACCAGTAGCTGACATCTGAGCTGTAAGAAAAACAGGGCCACTAATGTTTATCATTGCACAATTCTGCAGAAAGAAGCCAATTTGAAACTTGTCTTTACATCGAGTTTCCCAACACCAGAAGTGCTGTAAGTACTTCTTAGTAGTGCACAAGGGTCTCCAGGACCAGCAATAATACTAATAAAACTCCCTGGTTTATATTAAAATCATATGGCATATCCTATGGGATTTCACCCCATTAGAGCAGCAAAGGTTTCACTTCTGAAAAAGACAACAGACTATTAGAATTGTTTTTACTCCCCTTCCATGCATGGTTTCATACATTTATACCACAAAAGGACAGAAGAAACCATGAGAAAAATCAATGAAATAGCATATTAGCAACGACAGGAAAGATTTCATATAACTAGATAAAATTTACAGTAACGATGGAACTGTAAATGCAATGGGCACCTCCCGCTAAAAAAAGTGGCAGGATCAATACTTCAACAACTGGCATGCACATCTGGTAAATCAGCCAGCTAGGGAAGGAACCCCACCAGAGCTGTTTTTCTGACCAGAGAAGGACTGGTGGCTGATGTGACAAAAGGAGCTTGTCTTGGGCACAACAATCACAAAACATAGATTTTGATTTTTGGAGAAATAATGAGGGGAGCCAGCAGAACTCCCAGAGGCTTTGGCCTGTTTATGAGGCTGGTTGAGAAAGACCCTTGGGATGCAGTCCTGAAGGGCAAAGGATTCCAGGAAGGCTGGACATGATTCAAGATGGAAATTTTAAATGCACTGAAGCAGGCCATCCCTCTGTGTCAAAAAGATGAGCAGGGAAGACCATCAGCCTGGCTGAAAAGAGAACTTTGGCTGGAATTCAGGAATAAAAGTGCATCATCTTTGGAAGAAGGGCCAGGCAACTCAGGAGGGCTTCAAGGATGTTGTGAGGTTATGCAGGGAGAAAACTAGAAGGGTCAAAGCCCAGCTAGAACTAAATCTGATTACTGGCATAAAAGAAAATTTAAAAAAAAAACACTTCTAGAAATGCATTAGCAACAGAAGGAGAGCTAAGTAGAATCTCCATCTTTTATTGGACATGGGGGAAACATAATGCAAAGAACGAGAAGTCTGGGGTACTTAATACCTGCTTTGCTTTGCGGTATTTAATAGTAAGAGCAGCTGTTCTCTGGGTACCCAGTGCCCTGAGCTGGAAGACAGACGGGGAGCAGAATGAAGCCCCCACAATCCAAGGGGAAATGGTCAGTAAAATACTACACCATTTAGAACAAATCCAAAGGGCTGCATGGAATCCACCCAAAGAAACTGAGGGGGGTGGCAGAAATGCTCACCAAGCTACTTTCCATCATTTATCAGCAGACCTGGTTAACTGGAGAGGTCCCACCTCACAGGAAATTGAGAAATATGACACTCATCTACAAGAAGGATCAGGAAGAGGATTCATGAACCACAAGCCTGTCAGCCTGACCTTGGTGCTGGGGAAGGTCATGGAGCACATCTTGAGCCAGCACAGAGCCATGTAGGACACCACAGGATCATGTCCAGCTTGTTTGGGTTTATGAAAGGCAGTGCAGCTTGACCAATCTGATCTCCTTCTGTGACAAGGTGACTTGCTTGGTGGATGAGGAAAAAGCTGTGAAGCTTTTTACACCAATTCCCACAGCATTCTACTGGAGAAACTGGCTGCTCATAGCTTGGACCAGCTGGGTAAAAGGCTGGATGGCTGAGCCCAAGGAGTGTAGCAAATATCTTTATCTATGATCTGGTCAAGGGAATTAAGTGAGCCCTCAGTAAGCTCCCAGATGACACCAAGTTGAGTGGGAATGTTGGCCTGCTGGAGGGTAGGAAGGCTCTGCAGAGGGATCTGAACAGGCTGGATCCATGGGCTGAGGCCAATTGTACAAGGTTCAACAAGGCCAAATGCCTTGTCCTGCACTTGGGTCAAAACAACCCCATGCAGTGCTACAGGCTTGGAGAAGAGCAGCTCTAAAGGTGTTTGGGAAAGGATCTAAAGCTGCTGATCAGCAGCCAGCTCACTGTGAGCTAGCATGCACCAAACTGGCCAAGGAGGCCAACAGCTTCCAGCCTTGTAAGAGGAACAGTATGCCCAGCAGGACCAGGGAAGGGACCATCCCTGTGTACTCAGCCCTGGTGAGGCCAGCCCTCAAGTGCTGTGCCCAGCTCTGGGCCCCACACTGCAAAAGAGCCAGGGGCTGAGGTAAAACAGAAGGGAACTGCTGGGGAAGGGAGCACAAGGGGGCCGGGGCTGTTCAGCCTGGAGAAAAGCAGGCTCAGCAAGGACCTTATCACTCCCTACCACTCCCTAGGGACAGGTGTAGCAAGGTGGGGACCGACCTCTTCTCCTGAATATAAGTGAGAGAAAAAGAGGAAATGGCCTCAAGTTGTGTCAGGGGAAGGCTAGATTGGATATTAGAGAACAATTTTTCACTGAAACATTGTCACACGTTGAAAGAGGCCGCCTAGGAAAGTGGTTGAGTCACCATCCCTGGAGGTATTTAAAAGATGTATAGCTGTAGCACTTAGAGACACGGTTTATTGGAGAACTTAAAGGTCATTTCTAAAATAAATGATTCTATGATTCTCTAATATTTTTAAGCACTTTGAAAGAGCATCTTTGATTATCTATACAATTTTTACAACAAAACTAGTAGCTATGAAGCCCAGTTGTACAGTTATAATAAGCATAAACTACTTCAATGAG